GGAGTAAATCGAGCAAGTGGAATCTTATAATGTTGGACGATTGCTCCAAACAGAGGGAAAAGGAGGAATCTAAGTCCTAGGAACATAAATCGGTCATACACTGTGATTTTTCCCTCTGGTGGTGTATTCGCCCTCTCGGTACCTAAGGGGGACACGACATTCTAGATCTACGGAAAAATCGTACTTCTCAGCCACTACTTTAGTTTTTTGGACAGAATCTATAGTGGATACAAAATCAGCAACAGTCTTTGCATCTAAGTCCCTAGCCATATCTACCAAAGTATATACTAACAACAAACTACAATGGAAGAAAGGTTGGAATCGAAACTGAGATGGGTAGATCTGGAAGACTTACTGTTGAAATAGGTCTCCACTCTCCTTTCGAGTTGTAACCTCCCAGGATGTCAGTGGTCCTCGGTGACGGTGAATATCAATGGCTTCCGGCAGCAATCGTCGTGGGCAATTCTGGCGAATGCGAAAACAGGGGCACTGTAACAGTGAAGGATATTTTCCTTTGGGGTTCTGATATTTGGAAGAGAAAGGAAGTGTCAAATCCGATTCTCCTCAAGGGGCATTTAAAGAGAACTAGTCCCCCACGTTCCTACCCGTTACAGCGTAACTCGAGGCAATTATGATTATGCTAGCCGCCGTTTGGGGAACGTGCCCCCTAAAAGCGCGCGGATTAATGCTTTGGACAGGATTCTGAAACGGGTCACCTTCTCGGACCGGATCCTGACCTGCGAATTACTCCATCAGGCTTGCTCGACGTATTGTGGGCCGAGACTTGTCCATTCAATTTGGGCGAGTCCAGGTATTATTTTTTTTGTGTCAAGTTTTATTTATTTCACATAACTAACACTTGACAGGGACACTTGACGAATACATATCCACCACCGATATTGGACCGGCCCATCCGCCGAGTAAAAGGTCTAACCAAATCTGTTGAGGCGGTGAAATAATATTAAACCTATTAGGATTCTGACATCTTCCATGTGATCCCATGCCTATAAATATAGATGATTACTCCACAATTACGGTACGCTATCTCTAGCTCCAATAATCATACAGACATTACTCCATAACGCTATTTTCTGACTTAAGCATCAGAGTGTCTGCTCTTGCGAGACTCCCGAGGCTCTGTTTTGCAGAAAATCCTAACCGGAGTTCCACTGTTAAGCCGGTGATACAATTCCAGGCTTCGTCATTATGCGTTACCAAAAGGATGGTAAACAAATTCGAAGGATGAATCACTTTGAAATAACTGTCACCTATTTTAAATAATCACATATCAATATACAGTATTAGATACGACACCTACACGTTATTTCCATTGTTTTTTATTTTTTATTTTCATAATGCATGTGATCATGAAAACTATATTCCGCGTGGTGTCAGCATGGACATGGGATTCTCTGTACTACTTTTCTGTAATACTCTCTATTGTATTATCTAATTATTGTTTATAAATAATATAATTTGTATTAATACATACACTATACATATTTTCACGGTAAATTATTGTAATATTAAATTTTTATTTTTTGTATCAATGTTCTACTTTTATTGACTTTTTTAACCATGAAAATTAAAATAGGTAGGCTCTAACTTAAGAAAAGTGAACTTTTACTTCTAAAATATATAAATTCCAAAGTACTTGTGAATTGTATAAATATTAATGCAAATGACAAATAAAACTATTGAATGGTGCAACAAAGAATCAGATAGTCACAAAAAAATGGCACAGCAAAATTTGTGCCGTCAGTATTATGATGATGTAGCATCTTAGAGTATTTTTCCCACCGGAAAATTACACGTGGCATTTTTTTCTGCCAACTTTCCCACCTAGCAAATGTAGAAAGTCTTAATGTTATGTAAACGCGTGAAAATCAAACCATCAAAATTGATTAACCTGCAACAATTGATGGTCAAATAGTTCATTTACTGAATTACCTAATTCTTATGTAAAGTTAAGTTGAATTTCTATCACATATTTTAATTTTCCATTCCAATCTAGTATTTTGGTCCTAACTATGATCTATGAGGAAAAAAAATGATATATTATGCTTTTGATGCAATGTTGTTTTCTAATATTTTATGTAAAAATTTGGAGGTATTCCAATGAGGGTTTTGAAGTGGCAGTCTACTTTAAGTATTAGGAAAAAACCTCCAATCGCACCAATTTGGGTATCAATTATTTTCTTCTTTTTTTTTAAGTTAATTTAGTTTTATCAATGGCAAATGCAATAGGGATTTTTTTAAAAGTAAATCAACCAAAATTACATTTATGTAGACCATTAACTAGATATGTGCGCCACTAGTGATTATACAGTGAAACGTGTTCATCATATTTGGTACACTCGTTATGTGTATACACGCGCTCCTTTAGACAGATATAATTAATTATTTGATAAATTAATTATAGAAATAATTCTAGCATAAAATATGGACCATATTCTTCTCTAAAAACTAGGATTAAATTTGTTCAAAATACAAATTATGTATGTTCATCCTAATATGGTTAAGATTCATAAAATCCTATCTATTTTATTTTATCTATAAAAATAAAATATCTCACCGTGATTTATATTCATCGTTTTCATAAATGAATTTCATTATTTTATAATTGAATGTTCATGATAATGTTTATACAATGTCATTCTTTGTGTGGTGACATCATATTTATACTCACTAGATGTTAAACCCGCGCGATGCGCGGGATTTATTTATATACATTATAAAAAATCTAAAAAAAATATAAAAAGTGTAAAATGAATTTTACTATTTTTATTTATAATCCATCAGTAATGTAGGTGTTTTGGAGTATATTTTACTATCTAAAATTTTACTATCCAAAAGTAGAAATAAATAGAGATAAATTGGAATTAAATAGAGATAAATTGGGATTGATGATAATTGATTATCCAAAATTTCAGTGATAAAGATAAAGTTTATAACAACTTTTAAGATATTATTAAGAAAAGATTATATTTATTTGGGTAAACATGATATTACACAAATAAATGCATTGGTTTGAAATTCAAAAGATAACATTTAATTATAGTTAAATCTCATCCTTTTAGTAATAATTGAAGGCAAGTTTTGTACCTTTTTTTCTTTTTTATTGGCGAAAAATATAGGGTCATGTTTTTTAGAGAAAATTTTAAAGATAACATTAATGTTGAATGATTGGTTTTTTTAAAAAAAAAATTGTAGTCTATTGATTTACATGATTGGGACGGAGTTTTTTTTTTTAAAAGAAATTAATTAAATGAGTCCAGTAGTAACTTTGGGAATTCTTTTAGGGAGGAAATAATTCTGGTGCATTAATGTTCATTAATCCCGGCAATTAAATTTAATTAATTTTTATTTTCTTATTTTAAACTATAGTTTTAAATGCCATTTGATAAAATTTTATTTACATAAAATTTGAAGGATTATTAGTATAATTGTTGTAAATATTTTTTCACTCAACCATTAGAAAAATGACACATAAGATTTTATCCTATGTGGCACCTTTAGAATTCTTTTTTGTTTTCTCTCTGTGATTTCTCTCTTAGTATAATACTATAGATTTCAAACATAATTCAAGATGATTAGGGTAATTTTCACCATTCAAAAGAACACAAATTTCAAATACTATATTATAAATATACAATGTTCATACCCATAGATTAATGTGTTCAAAATCAAATTACCTATGGTTGATACAAAAAGGAATAATAATTGGTAAGGATACAATGCTCATATAAATTTTACACACTATCCATACAATACAAGGAAATAGTAATTGTTCATAACTATAAGATATAATATTCATAACAGATTTATACCTTATTCATGTTTTACATATAAATTAGAGTACGAATAATATGGTATGAATATTGTTCAAACCCCAAAGATAAGAAATTCATGACTGTGGAAAGTATTTTTCATATTTTCGTAACCCAATAATGCTACTTATATTCAAAATATCACACAATAATATTCATGATATAGTTTATAAGAAATCATTTGTACTTATACATTTTCATGATTATTAGTGACAATTTTCATAAATATGATACCTAATATTGAGTATAAGTTGTTAACGAAACTTTTAAAATAGGTTTAATCTACACGGTTGATTTGGAGATAGAACGGGAAAAAAATCAAATTAATTATAAAAACAATTAATGCTTGAAAGAAAAAAGTGAAGAAATTGAATCAATTAAAGAAATGATTAACTTGATTAGGTGCGCGTGAGAAAATTTTAAAACTAAAATTATGGAAATACACTCTCTTTTTTTTTTAGTGTTTTACAAACAAAAGAATCCATACATTAATAAACATGGTGTACGATATAAATTGCCGGGACAGATATAACTAAAGAGTTACCGAGTTCGTGTTAATTGGTCAAAAAGAGAAAGAACATGAAGTCTTCTTTGAATATAGGACGTAATGAAAATTCATGCAGAAGGTTAAAAAAACTCTAAAATCTAATCAGAAAACCAATCCATCAGATAGAAATATCGGCCAAAACATTACATCAGATTTTATTTTACTATATTCTGTGCAAAAAAACGTGATGTAGCATTGTTTCATTATTTTTAAAAATTTGTTATTTATCTTGCTTGTGTTCTTAGCGTCTATTGTAAACTTATTACTTTTAAGAATTTTGATGACTAATAATCGACTATATTAGTTTAAATGTAACGACTAAGAATTAGTTATCATGAGTTTAGGCATGATTTTTATAATCAGCTTCATTTATGTCACAGCGGTAGTAGAACTCTATCTAAAATTGAAGTATGCATTACATATTGAAATTTATATTTTTATACTACCCTTACCCATCATATTTCGTTATAGTTATTTATTATTTTCTGATCCAGCCGTGCAACATGTAATATATCTAGTATTATTACTTTATATAATCTTGATGAAATCTGAAAATTCTATGTTTCGAAAGTTTATGATGATGAATTTGCTTAATCGAATCTCAACAAGGTAAAACTCAACATGGACAATATTCTCAGAATTCTACTGTACGAAGGATAAACTGTTCTTAGTTTAAAACAGCCCGAACAAGCTGAATGGAGCAAATTGACGACAAACATCAACCTGGAATGAAGTTCTCAGCCCCAAATCAAAACCATTCAGTCTAGATTTCTGTTATAGGATAGAGGAAGTGGTGTTTTGAAGAGACCAAAATACTTTTAATTTCTGCCATAAAAGGCTTTAGAAGAGGATGCAGTAAGAAAATGTATGAGAAACACGAAGAACAAAGGTAAGAGCTGCATCATAAAATTAGCTGCACTTGAAGCATAAACTGCATCTGAAATTGCCCGGAATAAAAACACAACCATTTCCACTACCAAATTCGCCTGAGCCCAGAAAATCATCACACTCAGCATCCCAACTATGAGTGCCGGAACCAGCGGCGATGGTCCCCTTCTTCCTCCCATTTTCAACATCTTCAGAGCTTATCTAAATCAATCTGTTCTTGGGAGAATTCCGCTAGTCACAACATTGCTGCTTGTCCAAGGGCTATATATCTCAAGTCATTCTAAGCTTTCCTTCCTCATTGATGATGACAGCTTGAGTTGGTTATTCCCATCTTTGTTTGTTACCTATAGGCTTTAAAACTTTCAGAAGCTAGAATTCTCGAATGCAGAACTTTCGATAATTCTGAGATGAACTAAACAACAGATTATTATTCTTCGTCACCAATTGATACCACTGGCAAGTATATCAATATCATGATATTGACTATCAATGGACTTCGTTTCCGAATTTTTTTTTTTTTCAGGAACATGGTTTTGATTTGACCCAAGAAATGGGACCATGCGACTTGCATAAGCAGCAAATACTCCACATTTTCCTGGAAAGAATCTCCTTAATATACTAGAACAACCAAAATACGATAATTCAACAGACAAAAAGGCATGCACCAATGAAGGGATGATCAAAAATCAAAAGCTTGAGATTTTGGTATAGCAATTAGCAACCAACTCATTATTTGAAGGTAGCATCCACAAACATTGCACTGACGGTTACACCAAAAGCCCAGACAAGTTTATATTTTTCACTAACACGCAATGAGATAAAGAAAAGCAGCAGAAAATGTTGTAATGAAATAGACAATAATGACATATGAGCTAAAACAAAAAGGATAACCTACCTATATAACTAGTGGTTGAACACAATTTGGGTGCTTGCAGCAATGATAAGCATAAACAACAATCAAGAAAACCGGAAAATCAAAAAATAACTAGCTAAAGACCTAGTAGTGCATGTATGATGTACATGCTCAAATTGGGAACCCCGTCATTTGCCTCAAACACGGCCTCAAAGCTTGAGCATTGGACTCTTGGTTGCTGTATTACTGTTGCAGTGTGTAGTAAAACTAGCAAATACTTCCAAGAAACCAATGAGCCAACAATTATCATTACTACCTACTGGGAAAGAGCAATAATTCAAGCATAACTTCTGTTCCAGATGCAAATAACTCAGAAGAATCCAGGTTCCACGTTCATAGCACGTTCATAGCACGTTCATAAGCATATATTCATAAAGGATGTTTATAAAAGTTATGAAATATTTCAACTGAAACAAGCATAATTCGTATCAGCTAGAAAATGCTACAAACCTGTGAAACGTCAACGAGATCCTGGTAGACGCGGAAATCACGTTTGCCAATCACCCCGACAAAACTGTCCTATTGACTAGGCCCTAATAGCTACTTACTCTACTTCACTCATAGAACTGTGACATTTCACCTCACCTACAAAACTACAACACTATACATTGAAGAACATAGATAGTGCACAACTGTCCAACATGAACTTCTCAACCAACCAGACATTATTGAGGAGTATACTTGAGATGTTGCTCATAATAGTTTATCAACTGCAAAAAAAAGTTGGAACATGTTAGTCTAGCGGGGAAATGTACTAAGAGGATGTACCATCTGAATGTAGAAGATGGATTAATTACCAGAAGTGGATGATTGGCTTTGAGAAATTTGTTGTCCACTGCTACTTCCTTTCCATCAGCTCTAAAAGCAGTCAAAGTACAAAAGTGTTAAAAAAATCGATTTGCTGATTAATTTAGACCATAATATACATATAACGTAAATTCTATATATTCCTAAGAAAAAAGAAACCGACGCAATTTGACCAAGGGCTGTAATTTTGTCCCTTCTACCGTGCATAACCTTATAGAAACCATCAAACAGACTGCTTTAATCATAGTGCTAATGGTAAACTAAAATATGTCATCGTGCAAAAGCTGCAGAAACCTTTTCTTTAATCAACTGGTTCACAAAGCAAAAAGAAAATTTTTGAACGTAGTGCGAAAACAACAGAAAACTTAACAGATTAAGAATGAAAATAAGAGAGGGAACAACTATTCAGTAATGGCAAGGTGTACACAAAAATCCTAAAAAAAGAGGACCCAAACTAGTACACTAGAACCATCCTGGATATTTCAATAATAGAACTGTATGCTTACTCATTCTGAGAAGCAAGTATAATGATTCACTTAAAAACTATTCCTTGACATGAAATTGGCCTTGTTGCAGAAAATTCAGCCGTAACTAAAGCAATTGTTTTGATTTTTTCTATTTGGTAACAAAATTCTTTAAACTATATAATACTCCGGTAAAAGCCTGCCCCTTCAGATATGAATTCATACATGTTATCAACAGCATAATGATATTTGTGTTCTCATACTGTAATCCTCTCTAGGAAATGTGAACCAGAGCAGCAAAATAAGGGAGAAGTTTAGTAAAACTTTTGATACACAAATTAGACTAAGGTGATTTGACTATGACACAGGACACATAAAAATGCAGTTGTTTGCAGACTAAAGACAGGTTAAATCCAACCCAGATCCCTCCCTTTCAGACAGGATTCGAAATAAAGTTCCTGTGATTTCCTCAAGAAACGTTCTCAGGGAAGTTCTTAAAAGTGAAAAAGAGCATTGCCATCAGAAGCTCCATGTATCACAGTAAACATTGGGTAACAAAATATTATATTTAGCATTATCAGATTCATTCATTAGAAAGCAAGGAATTATTATATATATGCTTTAAAATCAAGTCATTGATTTGCACTCAACATAAGTTCCATGGTTTTGACGTTAGCAGCACAGGTTTAAGGGAAAAGGAATCAAATTTACATCTGTCACTAACCTCTTTGCAGTGAAGGTAACTGAAACATCTTTTACGTTGTTTACCATTGCAGATGTAAAGCTCACAGGCCTGATGATCTCAGTGATATCACAGATAGTCTTAGAATTTTCCGTCTTATTCTTCAACTGCAAATCATTAATGCCAGTATCAGCATTTTGCACTCCTTGATCTGCAACCAACCCACTAGAACCCTTGAGGGCTACCACATTCTGTGAACCATTTGTCCTGTCTGATGCAATATCTAGCTTGAACCTTTTAACAGAACCAGATTTTCTTTTTTTGGCTCCAGTGCGACTAGATTGAATTGCTTCTGAGCAATCAGACTTCTGTGAGCCATTCGCAAGGCCATCTTGATCAAGGAATTGAGACTCTTTTGGAAGGAGCGAAATTTTATCCACAAAGTCCCCATTCGTGACCTTTGCTTCTTTCAGTTCACTAATCTTAAGTGACAACTCATTTGCCACTTCTGTTTCTTCAGCTCTGTTAGCACCCAACTCCACACCTTTCTCGTTTTCAGTATTAGCCGTTTCAGTATCGTTCACGGCAGTAACATGTGGTTCCCCATTACTAATGGTACGGTCATCAACAGGAGTAGGTAAAGAATTACTTTCAATTTGAATCTTCACAGCTGGCACACTATAACTATCTGCGGCAGGGGAATGCTGTTGCTGTTGCTTTTTTTTCTTTGTTTGAGATGGTGTGGTGGCAGAATTGCGCTTGCGTTTGCGTGTCGACCGTTTGCCTGACCTCATGCTTCATATACGTCCAAGCGGACAAACCAAGAAAACAAAAGACAAGGATTACTAAAATCTAGAAATGCACAAAATACAGCAATGCATCCCTATATGACGTTAACTCAAATAAAAAAAATAAAGAAAAAGAAAAAATCTATAGCACTTTGAAGAGAAGTAAACAAGAATATACCTCTCCTCGAATGCATCGATAACGTCTGAACATTGTAACAGATTCTCCAAAGGCTCCCATGTATTTGCCGTCTCCGGCCACCCACGCCTGCAACAAACCCAATAAATGAAATTAATATGTAGAAAATTAAGAAATATAATCAAGGACTGAATCTGTGAATCAAATCCAGAAAAATCTAACAGTTTTCTGTAACTTTATTAATGAATTAGCAGTTTCCACAACTCATCCACATTTACCAAATCCAGAAAATGTTGGTGACAATTTTCTTGACATCAATCAATTGCGGTATTTTATATCATCATCAATCAAATTTCAGCAAACGCTAAAATCTAATCAATGCTGATGAGCCCCCATTCAGTCTGACACACACCCCAAAATTAATGGCATGATTCAGAGCATTAGATATGGCTACTTTTGAACTATACAAGAACGCCCAAAACTGACAGCAAAGGGTAATAAGTTTTTTATTTCTGCTTTTGATAAAGAACAAAGAACTCACCATTTGATGAGGTACTGAGCTTGACCCTTTTTCATTTCCAGCAATCCAAATAAGTCCCAAGCCACAAAACCAGAAGAAGGGAATAAAGTTAGACACATAAAATACCAAGAGCTGCTAAAAAATTTCAAGAAAAAGTGAAAAGGCATCAAAATGAAGCACCAGACATACATTAAAAAAAAAAAAAACCGAACTGACAGCATTGAGAGAATCAGGGGAAAAAAAATCAGTGCCCAAAAGTAGCAAAAAAAAAAAACCCGATAAAAATCGTACCTTTCGGACTCTTTTCCGGCGAACGGCCTCAATCTCGTAATAGCCATCCGCCAGTTTAGGCCTGTCATCATCCCCTTCTTCTTCCTCACCCTCATCCATCTGCTGCTCCTCCGAATGCCCATTCCCTTCTTCCCCCTCTTCATCTCTTTCATCGTTTTCATCCCCTTCAACCTCTTCCTCCGTCGCCGGAGTCCCTTCTTCAGCTATTTTCTCCTTCTCCACAGTCGGGGTCCTCTTCTTCCTCCTCTGTGGCTGTGGCAGATGCTGAGAAAGGTCTTCCCCTGGAGGCCCATTAATCAGAGGAGGATTGGAAGGATGAGAAGACGGAGGATCACCACCTGAGTGATTTTCTCCGCCGTCTCCCGCCGGTGGTGGCGGAGGAGGAGGTGGTGGTGGGTCTACAGATGGTCTTCTTTTCCCTCCCTTCATATTTTGGCTCTCTCTCTCTCTCTAAGATTTAGTGAGAGATCTTTTTAATCACTCTCTTCTGACTCAATTTATAATAAATACAAATACAAATAAATATTTCTTGCTTATTTTAGAAAAAAAAAATTTCTCCAATTTTGATTTGGGAAGGAGGGAAAAAAGTTATAAAAAAAAAAAAAAAAACTCGTATAGAAAGTTATAGACAACACCCTGCATTTATGGTTTAAATATGTGCAGTTTATTGTGGGAAAAAAATATATGTGCAGTTTTCTTTTTCTTTTTTTTTTGACACGTACAGATAAGCACGCATAACTCATGTTACGATTCAAACTAGAACTAAATCGAGATTTTTAAAATCGGAATCCATAATTTTTGTTAAATACAAATAGACACGGACAACCAACATTACAATTTAAATTGGAACTAAATAAAAAGATTTGGAATCGAAACCACATTTTTTTGGATAAATATAAGTAAGTGTGCACGATCAACGTTAATCGTAACTTTTGTCATGTGCTTACATGTATTTACCAAATTTACTTTTTTCAAAAAAAAAAAGAAAAGTAAATTACATATTTGAATAAACAAAAAACGGAGCTTAATTTTACTAATCGATTCTCAGTAATGTTCATCTTTCGAAAAAACTGTGAATCGACGGTTTGAAACTGTATAAATTACTGATTAAGGTTAATTTCAAAGAAAATAAAAAAAAATCACATAAATGACAACATTTTATACGTTGTACTTTTTTTAATATTTAACGGTTCAGATTCACAATAACATATCTATAACACTCCAAAATATTTTTATCTATATGTATAAGTAATGATATTCATCTCACGGCTCATATTATCACTCTTTGTTTAAAATGTAATAAATTTATCCTTTTTAAATACATTAATGATGACTAAAGCCATTCAACAATAATAAGAGTTTCAATACTTCAATAATAATATAAAATTCATTTTATTTTTGATAATTTTCACATAATCTATCTAAAGAAAAAAACGCATAAAATTTAAAATAAATCATTACCGTATGCAACCGGTAAGAAACTTATAACTAAACTGGAACCAGAACCTAAACCTTCTATTAAAGATTCAGTTTCGTTTTTATCCTTTCACAAAATATGAACATGCAGTTTATGAACCGTAACTGATAATTTCGAGTGCAAATTTTTTTAAGAAACGGACATACATTTATATGGTTCATTAGAAAATAAATAACTATAGTATCAATCCGTAAAATTAACTTAATGAAAAAAGACATTAACTTAATAATTATACATTTATGCACGTTGTAACTACGTTATTACAATAATCCGGATAGTGATACGATATTAATGAAAAAAGAAATCTTTGACTGAGTGCAAGTGACATTTTCAAATAGTAATGTATAATACAAATATGGTCATGCCTCTTCACATAAACTCACTTTATACGTAAAATCGCATTATGCCGACGTACAGAAGAGTATTAACTCAATAAAATTTATGTATCCAAAACTAAAAATTAATAAGAATGATTATTAGGGAATTGATAATTTACTGCCAAAAGTAGATAAACATATTGGTTGTTTACAGATTTCTGCCAATTCCCAACTTTAAAAAAAAATGGTTGAGATGCATGATTATTTATTAGAATTTTCATTTTGATTAAATAGAAGAAGTTAATCTGACTTTGGTGTATCAAAAGACAAAAGAGCGAAGAACTATAATTAATAAGTGTGACACACTGAACATAATAACTATTATATTGATAATAACAACCTTTCCATACAAAAATATATAGATAATCATATCCAACTCAAATTGTTTCCAATCTTTTATTTTAATCAAAATAGCTAATTAAGTTCAAAGTATTTTCATTCCTTCATGTGAATTTTTGAGTTCTAAGCTTTTGATGGTAAAATTATAACATCTCCCCTTACTGTATTTTCGTACTTATTGTAAAGTGAAAATAATACGTGATAATTTTTTGGTTATAGCGGCGTGGATGTTACGTGCTAGGTGCGTGACACACATATAATACTAATCAATTCTAATTAGTCTATAGAAAACTTATATAGCGATAAGAAAAGTTTATATTACCTATTTATAATTAGATAAATCCATGAAATGTAAAAGTAACATAGTAATAGTGGGCATAACAAACCAAGCAGTAGTGTGATTATATTATTAAGAAAATAGAAAACAAAATAAAAAATAAATAGTATAGATTAATAGTACTCAAAATTTTCTCCATGGATTGTAAGCTTAATATCCATCATTTTCAAATTAAAATTTTCTCCATGAAAATTTAAAAATAAAAACAAATTAATTTCAATTTGTAAAATATTTACTAAAAAATCCCTAAATATTTACAAAGAATACAATAATATCAGGAATCAAATGATTTTCAAACTCACGGCACGCATATTCTCGCGCAACGCACATATTTTCGTGCGGCTCTCATTTTCTCACGGCACAAAAGCCCTCTAGTAAATTGCATGAACCCAAAGGGTGTTAGCGAAAGAAATTTAACACTAATGAATTAAGCAAAATTTCAACTATCTACACTCCAATAATATAATTTCTTAAGTCGGTCAAACAAATGTGAATATGCATTAGAAATTTCAGTATTGACATGTAAGAATGTAAATAGGACAACAATTCGATAAACCATTATATAAAAATCGAGATGGGAGGCTTGAACTCATAATGTCTTTTTTTTAAAAAAAAAAAAAAACTTGGACTTCTTTGAATATTAGGAAAAGTGTGAGAGAGAGTTGAATTTAAGAGCAAACTCCAAATCAAAGTATGTTTTGGCCATTTTATTTCCTTAAAAAAATGTGAAATTGCAGTTAAAAGTAGTACATAAGTAGACATTTGTGGTCTAACAAGAAGACATAATGATGAAAAGTGAAGAAAAAAGAATAATTAAATATTTTGTTAAGTTACTATCTAAAATAGCATGGATGATAATTTATCAAGATTTACAATTATATGACCATAGAGTATAATTATAAAAGAAATGACATAATTTGATCTATAGTGATGTTCACTCTGTGGGTTTGCGTTTTGTATAGCAATTTTCTTCGAGGGTAAGGCTATCTATGGATCGTTTTTTTGAGTGTACTTTTTTTGTATTGGAAATGTAAAAAGGTATATTGGGAATGTAAAAAATGTGTATTGAAAATGTAACAAGATGTACTGGGATGGGACAGATATTAATTAAAAATTCTGAAAAAACCAACCAAACAATAAAAATAAATAAAATTGATGGCAATAATACAAAAATTAGCCTTGTTTATATTTTTTACTACCTCCGTCCCAAAAAAAATAGTCCAAGTACAAATTTGAAAACGCAATGTGGACTTTTTTTTTGGGGACGGAGGTAATACAATTTAACATGGATGATTATTTAATCAATTTTATATTTTTTTTATTAAATAGAATTGTAGAGTGTGTTAGATCATTCGTCGACTTTGGGCCTTAAAAAGAATGAGAGGAGAATGCCCATGCACATTAATCTCGTTGACCAAAGTCTTTCAATGTGACGGATCAATGTCATCTTGGATATTGGACCAGACGAGGAAAAATGTGTGTTGGAACTCCCTCCTTTTTTCTAGTCTCTCAGATTGGTTGTTTCGATGGTTTGCTGCCAGTGTCTGTGTTATATTTTTCACGCTATCACTGCATCTTTCAACTGAATTCGGGTCAAGTAATACTCCCCTCCCTTTTATCCCGAAATTATTGTCCAGTTTAGATTTTCTGTTTTAAAACAAATTAAACAAAAAGTAAAAACTTGGATAATAGTTTTGGAACATAAAGAGTATGAAATAAATATTCCATCTGTCCCAAAATTATTGTCCAGTTTGAGATTTCATTTTTAGTACAATTTGAACTAGAAATAAAAACCCAAACTGGACAATAATTATGGGACGGAGGGAGTATATACTTAAGTAAAAAAAGACTGTTCATAACTTCATACATATAGCAACCAATCCATTAAGTACAAAACATCAGATCATGTTTGCTTAAGAACTTAGCTATCACAATCTACTTCAGATATCCCGGCTAACTTTAATAACCCAAAACATAAACCCTGATTCCTATCAGTAGATTATCTTCCATCTCCCAAAAGTTTCAATAACATGCTGCAATCCGTACATAACCCGCGCACTTAAATATTTAAGGAAATTGCCTCCTTCAATGCAAACATCATTCTAAGGGCTTTAATGGAAGAGGGCACAAAACATCTTATTCTTAGGCTAGCCCCATTAACCAACAATCAAATTACTCAAGATAGAGTGGGATTAAGTACGGTACCCATGAAGAGCACCACTCCAGTCACAGCTTCTCTTATGAGGTAAAGAAAGGGGTGATCAGCAACAAAGTTGAAAGTTCGAACCGGCATACCACCTCCTACAGTTGCTGAACATACAGCAGCAGCTTCTGTACCTGTTTCATTGACCTCAATAAAGGATTTTTGAAACATGCCTTGACTGACAAGGTCATCACCAATCGGGGAATCTACCATGTTAGTGAGCCCACCATCATGAATAGTGAAAGGCGAAACTAGCCCTAAGCTTTTTAGAATCTTTGAAGCTTCAAACTCAAATGAAATCTTAAACTTTGGAACGAGGAAACTGCAGACAACTTTCATGGTTCGTGGTACATGGTTCTTGAAAAATCCAGGTTGAGAACTGAATTTTTCAACCAAAGCACGCAACCCATCCTTGGCATCTGGGAGATACAAGTACATGGAGAAGCTTCGATGTCGGTCATTACCTTGTTTGTAAGGAAGACGCAATACTTGAAAACCATCGTAGGCACTTATATATTGTAGCTTCATGCTTGACATGAATGGAGCTTTCACTGTGCTGCCGTTTAGGAGATAGAACTTATGATCCCTTGTCATTGGAGGAAAAAACGGGTGTTGCCATCCTCCTTTGAAATATAAAGCATTGGTGAAAATCAGATTTGTCAAACGGTTGATGTCACCAATTGAAAGAATACTTTTGATGGTACCATTTGTTTCTTTTTCAGCCCATGCATTCACTTCGGCAACCACCTCATCAGACTGCAAAAAAAACCAACATATAAAAAAAAGAGAGATATGTCATCATATGTGTTGAAATCCATTCAGTATTTAGACTCTAATCTCCCATGCTTTTCTTCTCACTTTTGAACAAAAAGTGCAGAACTGCAGATACCAAGTAACAGATCAACTACAATGACTATAGTACACAAACCAATGCAATATTGAATCCAATGATATTCCGATACATGGATTTTGAAAAAAAAAAAAAACTAAAAGAAAACATCCTTGCAGCCTGTCTTAAAATACAAATGCATGTGATCTTCAAAAAATTGCAATTAAACTAGTGAGGCGTTGACCACAAAACTGAAACTTGAAAATGAGAACCAGTACACAAAATAAGAAGAAAATTTCATCGAAACCCGGATAGACTGGCTTTGAAAAAGTAATTGTACAACATATTGGATTGCAATGGATTGAAAAGTGAATACTATGCCTTTGAGATAAAGAAAGCAATATAAATGAAGTCTCAAACGCATATACTAAAGAACTAACCTTGTTTTGAAAATCAACTTGACTGGAATGAGCCTTATAAACATCATGGATAACGTCCTTGAACTGGGACTTAAAAGACAGAGATTGATCAATCCAGAATGCGTTAGCACATGACAAAATAGGACCACCAGAAGGGCTGCCGTCGGCTAACACAGTGGTAACAAACAAAGAGGAAAGAGCATTAAGTTCATCAATTGAGTCGAACTTAAGGAAAGAGAGGAGCTGGTCCCGAGTTGAGCCTTTAGACCCGGCTGCGATCAAGCCCAATGCAATCTGGAGGGACAGCGGTGAGAACACAAGATTGGCTTCATCCTCGATATTTGCCAAGATAATTGGTTTTGCCAATGTCACTGCAACATCATTTTGTTTGTTGTTTTCCACAAGCTTGCAAGGAGCATCTCTTTTTCTTTTGAGCCCAACGGGAGCATCTTGCTCACGGGGAGAATCCATGTCGATGAGACTTCGGGAAGTAGACTGGAAGCCAGCCACAAACAATGAATTAATCATGTGCATTTTTGGGTCGAAAAAATAACTGCCAATTGTTTGATCCTAGGAGACTAAGGTATGAAGTTGTCGGCCAAAGACAATCAAAACCGAGCATTGCTTGCATGAGTAGTATCATAATGTAAAGCCAGAAATGAACTTGTAGAGCTTTTCAGTGTCTAAATGTAACAGTGCCCATTCATCTTTAACAGATCAATAAAAAACATGTTATATTATTCCATATAGTTCACAGAGATATTTAATTTGGAATATAAATGTAATGATGGAAACACTAATAGAACTATATTTACGTCACAAATTGACACTACTCCGAAAAAAACACAGCATTCTAGTTATGAAGAAGAAGAACTCACCTTTCTTCCTCCAAACCAAAACCTTGAAATTGACCGCACTAGTCGCCTCCTCTTCTTCTTGTGTTTTTTGGTTTCTGCAATTTGACCAGGTTCCAATCCTGTTTAAAGGGGAAAACAAACCATTAGTAGTAGTATCCATTGATTTGGTACTTCAAAACTAATATCGAAAGATCAAAACTTTCACTTATTAAAGAAAACTGAAACATTCACTTATTCTCTGACTATTAGATTTATTTTATCAAAATATTACTAAAGAAATTAAAAAGAACAAAAAAGAAAAAAAGACTCTGACTAAACAAAATTAATATATTCCCGCCTCTTCCTCTCTCATTGTCCCCGTCGCCGTCGCCGCCGCCGCCGCCACCACCACCCTCCCACCACCACCACCACTCATCATCCCTGCTCAGTAACTGAAATGGGTTTTTTTTTTTCCGTTTTGAGGAGAATTTAGGGCCAACCAAAACAATTTTTCAGATTTCTTCGTTCTTATTCTTACTGAAATTAAAGCAGCCCCCTTTGCTGCGACACCATAATCGTTGTTTTTTTTTCAACTAACTCATAATAATAATACTTCATCATAAATCAACAAAACTAATGTGAAGCCCCCACACCCACGAGACTAAACTAGATGGTAAAAAAGCACCTTTTTTTTTTGAATAAGTAAAAAAACACATTAAACAAAGAGAAAACAAAACAAAAAGGTGACTGGAAGAAAACTTTTGAAAGTTTCAGAAAAATGAAATCCGTGTCATAAATAAATGGAAGAGTCCTACCCTGCTTGAGTATTCCGACGCTTAAAATATTTTATGAACTCAGGGCAAAGATTCTACCGGAGAGTGCTGACAGACTGACTGACAACCTATTAGATGGTTATGAAAGGGGAAATGAAACCGGAAGTGGGAAAGGGAAACGTTTTAGTTAAAATAAAAAGTTAAAAAAGAGAGAATATTGCCTTACTCATTTATGGTACAATTAGTGTTTCTTTTTAGGCAGAATGTGATTAGTTTAATTTAGTACACTTAGCCATGTTCATTGTTAGAAAACAGAAAAGACGAAAAAAAAAAAATAAATAATAACAACTAGTTTTGGTCGAGGGTAAAAGTTCCGGTTTATTCATAAATATTCCCCCGTCCCATAATTATTGTACAATTTAAATTTTCATTTTTAGTTCAAATTATATTAAAAATGAAATCTCAATTCATTTCTGGTTCAAATTGTATTAAAAATAAAATCTCAAACTGGAAATCTCAAACTGGACGGAGGGAGTAAATGTTAAAAAATTTGAAAATCTTCCGGATGTGATTAATAAAAATTGAGCCGGGTAAATCCTGAACCTAGATGTACACACAGAATCATCCCTCACATTGGCTCACATAGATTGGGGTAAATTCGACCAAATATTAATAACAATCTAATTTTGTTGCTCATTTGACATTTCCACCACAAAGTCACAACTCACGACCATAGAGACACAAATTACCCGGCGGAAAGTAAAACTTACAAAGGGGATTAAATTGGTTGCCACAATTCTAAGATGGTTTGAAAAAACACAACAAATGAGTGAAAGACATCATCATCATCTATGCCAATTCTAAGACGCTACCTCATACCTTCACAATTAGCACACTAATGTACAAAGATAATTAAAGTTAACTATTACTCCTTCCGTTACGCAAAAATAATTCATATTGTAAATTATAAATTATACTGTTTTCAAGTACAATTCACATACTACAATGTGGACTTTTTTCTTTTTTTTTGGTGACAGGAGTAGTATTATACTACTACTCGCTGAAGCAAACCCATCCCAAACGGTCACCACAAGCTTGTTTTAAACCTCGTACCATTTCTCAGCTTGAAGGTTTCCCAGGACCATTCTCATTCCAGGCAGCATTAATAGCATTTGAGTAGGCATAAAACTGCAGCCAAGCAAGTTACCATCACGGATTAGGAAGGTTTAGCAAATCCATATTCAAATGCAAATAAATTTTAGAAGCAAATGGCCACCAAGCTGACATTCCTTTTTCAGTTTTCAGCAACCCGTGTACTCCACTATCATATTGGAATGTAAAAGTAAATGGACACCTGCAGAAGTTCACCTTCTCGGTTATAGATTCACATAGATGGTGCATTTCCTGCATCTTAGCTGCTCCAGACTCCTTGACTGCTTGAATCTTTGTATTTATAGTATCTGCCTGGTAGTTGAAGGAGAAGGCTTAAAACCAGAATCACCATCTACACAAATAATATGGGCAAGATGATGGAAATTGTACCTCCATAACCATAGCTTCCACCTGCTTTTGTCTTGCTTGTAGACCACTTCTCCTTGTTTCCACTTCCAACTTGACATTCTCCAGTTCTTTGTTAACCTGCTCGCGGTTCTGAACTCTTTCATACTCTAGCTGCTTCTTCAGTTCATCCAATTGGTCCGCTGAGCAACAAACTCATAATGTCATTGCATTCAATAAACCAAAACAAATGGAAATGGAAGCAAATCATATGTTAGCTACCTTTTGTTTGCAGTTCAATCAATTTAGCCTCGAGTGATTTGTTTAATACGTCTTGGTCACTCATATTGGCTTTAAGAAGTTTAAGATCCTTTTCGATTGTTTTGGCCGAGTTTACCTGGTGCAAAAACCCAAAATAAAAAGAATACATATTTAGAAAGAAAGCATCGAGTTGTTACGATGCAGCCAAAAGCAGGGCGGTCAATACAAAGGAATAATGTGCCCCTCAGGCACAGCATCTTCCAATTGAAAAATCATAGATAAAAACACAAGAAGGTGGAAGCAATACAAATTGTCCAACCAATATATACAAGGGACAAAAAATTATCCTTAAAACAAATGAAGAACATACACAAAGTTCAAAGCATAACAAGAATTAACCTGTATTACAAAATCATTCCGATAGGTACAGTATAATGACCACACATATTTCAAGCTACCATAGAAAAACAGATAGTGTCTATTAAAGACACCAAGCATGGCCTAAACAAATGAAATCAGTTCATTAGAGAATACCTGGTCTTGTTTAGCCTTCATCTGAGCCAATTGTTTGGACAGCTTCATGGAAGCCTGAAAATATGAAACACAGATTATAAGAACATTCACATCTGAGTTGCGATTGATGGAATCATGAACTCAAGGCACCGATTCTACAAAAAAGGAAAGGGAAGATTTTCCACTCAATTAATCATCTTGCAAATGAAAGCGCACATGCAAATAATATCTGTCAAATGAAGGCACAAGCATGATACTGGAGAAGAAAAAGGACAGCATTCATCAGTGCTATGATTGTCAATATTGTTTATTAATCTTAGCGTATTCAATAACTACAACGAAAAGATAGTTTACTTATGCCATCACATCCAGCATATTTTGCCCAGGTACTTCCTGCAGATATATTCATAACAGCAAGAATAAACATAAACTAGAACGGCAATAGATCATCAGAACACACTAAAATGGATGTCGTATTTACTAAGTAATGCGATTAGAACCACATAACTTCATTCTTGGAGGCACTATTATAACCAGATATTAATACCATTGGTAATTAAAAAAAAAAAAAAAAAAAAAATCCAGCAGGTATATGTGAGGCTTTTCAATATGACACAAGTGAGCAAGTAGTGAAGTTACCTTTGTGTAAAGCTCAAGCAGAGCACTTTTATCATGAAAAGCTTGCATTGCCGCTCTTTCAGCATTCTTAGCTTCAGCTTTAACTGATTTTTTCTCATCAAGAGCCCTCTGAATTATCATATCAAACAGGGGATGACATTGTATGAGAGTTGGTTAATTTCAAAGCAATAAGGAAAAAAGATGCATTCTCTAAGTATTTTGTCACAAAAAGTGGAAAGCGAACAGAAGTAGCAATCTGATCAAATGGTAATAATATTCTAAGAAACACAAAGGTTATCTCATCAGGACTCATCCATATACCAAATTAACTTTCAGATAAAAGAATTTCAGTCAGACGCTAACAGCATTTTGAGAAAAGGAAAGGTTATAAGCCTCTCAGGTAAAATTCATCTTCTGACATAAATCTCAGCTTCAGTACCATTAAACATGACAGAAATTTGATACCGGAATACTAAAGAAAACAACCGGAATAAAAAATTGCATACCACCTATGGATATGATAATTAAGGCTATCAGATGTGCAAATACTTTTCAGTGCAATACTGCACTTGAGTTCTATTCATCCATAAGACATAATAAATAAACTACAATAGGCTTTTTAAAAGAGCTTATAAGTTTCAGTTCTTCAGTATCATTGCTTTGTAGGATGTAGATCATTCATATCTAGTTTGAAACTACATCGAGGCCCTTATACAAGAGAAGAAAGATTTTTTTAAAAAAAACTAGGGTCAATTACAAAAGAAGTTGATTTTACTGATCAAAACTTGCATGAGTTTTCTAAAGAGATGACAACGAAAAAGGAAAACGCAACTCGGAGAACATAGACGGGAGAAAAAGCACGCTCATAGCAATTATTACTGATTTGAAACCATTAACTGCTTCCAAGTTACAATACCCACAACAAAAAAGCAAAAAAGCAAATTTAGCATACAATCGACACATATAACCAGAATTCGCTCTACTGCAGAACAGCTTGGAGCCCACAATCTCGTTGTTTAGATAACAATGCAGAATGTTGAGGTAATCTTTATATAATGCAAACATGTGGATGTTTGACAACCAGATATGCCTTAACTTTAAAGATGATACCTGAAGCTTGTCTGGAGACTGAACAATTTTAGAGTGTAAACTGCCATTCTCTTGGACACTTTGGATCAATGCAAACTCAGCATTTTGAATCTGGGAGATAACAGATGACAAAGAAGAAAGAGCATGCTTGTTCAGCCGAACTAAAATTGTCATAAAGTTTTAAAGAGTCTCAACATATCCAAGGTATGCATAAATGATCCTAGTAAGTAGTAGAAATATTTGCTAATTGCTTTCTGCTACTTTATGAATTTATGGACAAAATGCACAAATGGAAAAGGTAGCCAGAATGATGTATAAAATTTATTATAGGGAAGAAGAAAAACAATGTGATAGTCATAATACAACATGTGATCTTGGGAGGGAGTAAAATGAAAGCTTTCGTTTTTTGTGAGAACTCTACTCAGCAGTAAACATGATTTTTAACTTTTCAAATAGAAAAAAAGTATATCTGTAGGTGCTATGATTGATGCAGACACAAACCTTCTCATCCATCTCTTTGACCTTCTCCTTTGTCTTTCTCATATTAACCTTCAAAGACATCTGGTGATTGTTAAGACTCTGAATAGTTTGCCGCAATTCTTTGACTTTAGCATCAAGTTCTTGAACAAACGGAATCTCGCTTTCCCTCAGCTGATTGTGCTCCTCGATTTCTTCATTTAACTGGGAAAAAGGTTGTTAGGTCATTTAAGAACTAAGATATAATTATGTCAAGTATATGACGCAATAGTGTTCAAGATACATACTTTAGACAATGTTTCCTCCAACTCCTGCTTTTTCTCTTCAAGGAGGGTTAACTCATCAACTACCGGTCTGAACAGATTCATCTTTCCCTCTCTAGAAAACATTGAACCTCATTATCAGATATACAAACGGGGCTTTTCTAATGGCATAAATTTCAGGGGTTACCAAACACTAACAAATTCCAGTCATTTCCATTTCCTTTCCCCTTCCCTTAAACCCGAAGCAGCAGTCAAACGCTAATGACATTTTTTTATTCAGAAAAACGTTAACACCACCACATTTCATGTACCTGTGAAGGCAAAAATTGAGCACCGCACTAAGAAAAATTTCGGTACGATCAGGCTCGGGCTTAATCAAATCCTTGAGAGTGAACTTCAAGGGGCATTCTAGAACCGCCAGTAGTTCACGAATTTTATCAAACAGGTTCATGACCCGAACCGACTCAACATGGTGGTCCGGATTCTCGAGCCGCTCTAGGGCCTCGAAATCCAACTGGTCATGATCTTCCCTGGAAATAAAACAAACATTAATCGAGAATTAAACCCAATTAGGGTTATCGCGTCGGATTTCAAACGGAAAAAAAGCAGAGAGTTTGCTTGCTTACGATAAAATGCCGATGTGGAGGAGAAGGGCAGAATACAAATTAGTGACGAAATCGAAGGTGGGTTTAAGCAGGTCGGAATCGGAAACGTTGCCGATCTGAAACTCGGAGAGAATTCCGAGCATTTCATGCCGTGGGAGCCTGGGGTAGTCGTATCTTGACATTTCTTCTTTCCGGTCTATTACAGATAGTACACACACAGTCACACAGTTAACTGAAGAAGATGAGAGTGTATATATTTTCCCGCCCAAAAGTGAAATGGTATTTTTGTAAATTGACGTTTTCCCATTCCAATTGTTGCCAAAAAAAGGGTTTAAAAATTTGGTGGGAAAAAACAACGTAACTTCATGTGCCATATAGTGAGAAACGTAAAAATATATACACAGTTGTGGGTTAAACCTATTTATTATATAAAGGCTAAAATATCCAAATGGTCCCTTATATTTAGGCCTACTTGAATTTACGTCTCTAATATTAACATTTCAATATCGTAGTTCCAAACATCATATTTTCAAACTTTTTTGTTCCCATTTCACTGTTTCTGGCCGTTGACATACCGGAATCTGGGGTATTTTTGTCTTTTATTTTAATTTGAATTTCTATAAAAATTTAAATCATTAAAAATATTTTAAAATTCAGATTTTATTATTTAATTGTTAAAATATTATTTATTAATTAAAAATATTATTATACAATTTTAAATTTTAACATTATTTTCAAAATTACTAATTTCATTTACTATTACTTTAAGTACACAGTAAATAATAATTATATTGTATTTTTAACTTTGAGCCCACTTTAACTTAAAAAATTTACTAAGTTACAGTAAATAATTCAAAATTCAATTTTTTTTTTTTACAAAAAAAGAAAAAGCAAAACTAAGATTTTTTTACTCTGACCGCTACAGTAACTCCTAAATGCTAATTATGTACACTTGTAACCTTGGGCTCACTGTAACTTAAAAAATTTACCAAGTTATAGTAAATAATTCAAAATTCAATTTTTTTTTTTAAAAAAAAGAAAAAGCGAAATCAAGATTTTTTTTTAACTTTGACCGCTACAATCAAATTTTGAATTATTTACTGTAACTCGGTAAATTTTTTAAGTTACAGTGGGTCTAAGGTTAAATGTGCAACATAATTACCATTTAGGTTTTACTATAGCAAACAGAGTAAAAAAATCTTGGTTTTGCTTTTTCTCTTTTTATTAAAAAAGAAATTGAATTTTGAATTATTTACTGTAACTCGGTAATTTTTTTAAGTTATAGTGAGCCCAAGATTAAAAGTGTATTATAATTACCATTTAGGGTTTACTATAGCGGTCAAAGTAAAAAAAATCTTGGTTTTGCTTTTTTTTTAAAAAAAAGAAATGAATTTTGAATTATTTTCTGTATCTCGATAAATTTTTTAAGTTACAGTGGGCTCAAGGTTAAAAGTGTAACATAATCACTATTTAGTGTATAGGTTAGAGTAAAAAAAATATTAGTTTTGTTTTTTTCTTTTTTTTGAAAAAAAATTAATTGAATTTTGAATTATTTACTGTAACTTGGTAAATTTTTTAAGTTATAGGTGGGCCTAAAGTTAAAAGTACAACATAATTACCATTTACTGTGTACTTAAAGTAAATAGTAAATAAAATAAGTAATTTTGAAAATAATGATAAATTTTAAAATTGTATAATAATATTTTTCATTAATAAATAATATTTTGACAATTAAATAATGAATTTAAATTTTAAAATATTTTTAATGATTTAAATTTTAATAAAAATTTAAATTAAATTAAAAGACAAAAATACCCTTGATTCCGGCATGTCAACAGGCGGAAACAGTGAAATGGGACCAAAAAAGTGTAGAAACATAATGTTTGAGATTACGATATTGAAATGTTAATCTTAGAGACGTAAATTCAAGTAGGCCAAATGTAAGAGGGACTATTTGGACATTTTAATCTTAAATAAATCGTCATGAAATCTAGTAATCTAAACAATTGTAGAGTAAATTTGAGGTTTCCAAAAAACAGCATATAACAAAAATATTAAGAATTTAAGATTAATACACCATGCTTATGCTTGAAAATGAGGCAAATTATAACGTGGACCACAGTCCATCTTGCACCGTGAGCCAAAAGAAGAAGTGTTGCTCACTCTCTCAATCAGCAAGTAATTTTCTACTGAAACTTCTTTTATAATTATCATAAATCTTATCTCTCATATTCTTAATGATGATATTTCATATATTTAGTTAGAATTTTAAATCATTATTTATTTTGCCATGATCAGTAAAACTTCAACAACCATCAAGAATTATGAAGATAAAATTTTGATGAAATAGTTTTAAAAAAGAAGTTTAGTATTTATAATAGATTTTCAAGTAATATTACTCAATAAATGTATGAACTTAAATGTTTTAAAATATGAATATTATACGGTTTGTGTGTGAACATTCAAAAATGAATTTGAACATAAAATTTTGATTAAATAGTTTTAAAAAAGAAGTTTAGCCAAAAATGAACTTGAACATAAAATTTTGATGAAATAGTTTTAAAAAAGAAATTTAGAATCTAAAGTAGATTTTCAAGTAATATTACTCAATAAATGTATGAACTTAAATGCTTTAGAATAAGAAAATTATACGGTTTGTGTATGAACATCCAAAACTGAATTTGAATATATAACTATTATTATAGCATGATCATGAAAAACTAAAAAAATGAATGAAACACATACTACTATAATAAAAGTATAAAATTTTTTGTAAATGGTTTTTATGTTGATAAGTTGCTTGGTTTGATACTCAGGAAAAGAAAAAAAATTGATAATGAAGATGGAGGAATTTAACCAACTGAAAAATTACTTAAATGTGTATGGCCATTATAGTTTATATGTATGAATTCTAAATTTAAAATGTATGAACATTTTTTTTCAAAAACTATGGACTGAATAACAACTAAAGAACGTAGGTTACAATTAAATTTTATGTGTACAAACAATAAAGATTTATGGTATGAACAAATGCATAAAAATACAAAATGCTATGAGTTTTTGCATAAATAAAAGTAACAAATTGCGTATGAACAACAAATATTATATATATGAATTTTAAACCAGATACGTACAAACCTTTACATGAAAAATTCATATATGATCATGACATAAAAGTTATATTTAAAAAGTTTCAAAATTTTATATGCTCAAAAAAAAAATGAAAAATAAGATCCCAACCTTTGTCATTTGAGACAAAAAATAATGTATGAGAAAAAATGAGGTAATTATTAAATTTATGACCCATCCCATGTTAAAATATGATTAAAAACCTCTACTAATTATTATTTGCTAATTATTAAATTTATCAGATTATGAACAACGACAAATAAATATATGAACAATTGGTTATGAATGAAAACGAAACCAAAAAAAAAAAAAGAAAGTTTAGAATTAAAAAACACGAAACAAAACAAGTAAATTAGAACTACCCCAAATGGCAAAAAGAAAAAAGAAGAAGAATAAAGAATCCAACCTTTTTCTTTTTTCCTTGTTGATCAAATCCGGCAACATTTAGACAAGAGTAGCTAAAATCACTTAGACATGATTATGGAAAGATTTTACTTCGCCAGGTTCATCAACTCTAAATAGTAAAGTTTGAGTTTATATAAGAAGGGAAAGGTTTTGGAAGTTTTGGATGACCTTAATCCTTTGGAAGACTAATTTGAATTATATATAAAAATTAAAACAAAAAGATTCTTATTTTTCCTCCTTAAAACTAATTTCCTAATTTTTCTCCATTCCTATTTTTCTGCAACGTGTGAAAGCAAACTGATTAGAGACCATGACCTATATTGCAATAAGGACCATGGTCTACCATATAAGAATTGGAAAATGACGAATTTCCTCGAAATTTACGACATATCAATATCATGACACAAGTCCATTTATATTAATATATTAATTTATGATACCGATATTACTTCTTCCGCTCGTATTGTAATTTGTCATAAATTTCATTTAGTATGTTATTTTAATTGAAAATAAAATCTTAAAAATATTTTTTCATATTTATTGTGTTCTTTTAATTATTATGAAATATTTTTAAGGGTTTTTTTTTCAATTGGAGTAACATAATATATACTTTCTCCGACCCACAAAAAATGTCCACATTGAGTTTTGAGTTTTTTACTGTTTTACAAATTTAAAAATTCAATGTGGACTATTTTTTTTTTTTGGGATAAAGGTAGTAAAATTTAGGATAAATCAGAATGTCTTATCGGTGTACTGTTTTTAGTACAAATTTGAAAACTCAATGTGGATTATTTTTTTGGGGATAAAAGTAGTAAAATTTAGAATAAATCAGAATGTCTTATAGGATCAAAGTATTACCGTTCTCATTATTAATAAACCAAAACAAAATGGGAAGAAAACTTCAACAATTAAATCCTACTCAAGTCGAACTCACAAACATCCGCAATAGATGAAAAAATTCACTTCATAATTCCACTTCTTGAAAATTGGCAAAACAAATAACGCTTAATATAGAAAATTATTTTTGACAGGTAAGACCACATAATCTCTTCACGGGTAAAACAACGATATATCATAGTATAAAAAAAGATGGCTTCATTAACAAGAATTTATCTGTTACATTCAGTTCTAAACTACTCAAAAATGTGTATTCGTAACATTAAAGTACCTGAAAAATCCGATATTGCCTCAAAAAGAATGTGCTGTACATTAAGTATGAATTGTCTAGTCTTACAAGAATGACTTCAGTTCTATAGCAGGAGAAAAGGAAGAGGAAAAAGAATCTAAAAGGACAGCTTAAAAGATACAAAATGAGCTGCAAGTAACAACTAGAAAAGCTCAGTAGTAACTTTTTTTATATATATATATACCGGGTTCTGTGAGGTGAATCTTTCTTGACTATGGTAGCAAGTACTGCTGCAAATGCTTCGTTCGCCGCTTGTTCTTCAGTTTCCGAAATGCACTCGATTCCATTTGCCGGATTCTCTCCCTACTTACCCCCATCAGCTCTCCAATCTCTTGCAACGTCTTCATCCTTCCGTCATCTAGTCCGAATCGCCATCTGATGACCTTCTTCTCCCTTGGATTCAGAGTGTCCAAAACTTTCTCAAGGTCCTGTTTCATGAATTGTTTCATCAGCAACTCTTCTGCTGATTCGGCTTCAGGGTCTGCAATTACTTCCTGGATATATAGGAAACAAAGTAACAGTCTCATATCAGTCACAACTCTGTTGGAGAACATAGAAACCAAATCACACTAAAAAAAAAAGAAAAGGTTTCAATAAAAATTGTTTCCACCCACCGAAGGTTTGAGATTCTGGTTCATCCCAATTTTCTGATCAAGAGATCTTGGAGCTTTGGGAGTCAGCATAACAGTAGAGAGCCTCTTCATTGACAGCCCAGTTGCTTGAGCAACTTCTTCATCATCAGGCTGTCTACCATGCTCTGAAAAGAGTTGCTTCTTTGCTTCCTTAACTCTATAAGTTGCCTCAACCATGTGAAACTAGAGGACCACAACAGTATTGTAATGAATCAGAATTCATATTGATAGATATTTGACATTCGTAATTGTACTTCATCATGTTAAATCCACACCGTTTCGACCAAAAGCAATGCCTTTCTAATATACAAAATAAACTTACTGGTAATCTGATTGTCCTGGACTGATCAGAAAGGGACTTCCTAATGGCCTGTTTTATCCACCAATGGGCATAGGTTGAGAACTTGAAACCTTTTGAAGCATCAAACTTCTCTGCACCTCGTACAAGGCCTCGGCATCCTTCCTGAGAATACATCAGCCAAAATCAGTTATTTTGAAGAATAAGAAGATTGCATTTCATCTGATTTTGTTTGGGTTGATCGCAATCACAAACGACGAATCTAGAAAGGATACCTGGACCAGATCCTGGAGATTCATACCAGATCCCTGATATTTCTTGGCAATTGAAATAACAAGCCGTATGTTGCTTTTAATCATTTTATCCTTGCACATGATACCATAATTTATGCGCTTCCTCAAGGTTCTTTGATCAATACCAGCTGCAGTAGCCCATTGAGTAAACGACGGCTGAGCCCCACAGCGTTGTGTTAGTTCCTGCTGAAGTCTTTCTAGCTTTAACAGGTCCTGCAATTCATTCAAGCAAAATGAAATCGTTAAAAGACTATGCAACAAACAAGCCAAAGAGGGTAAGGAAAATTTCAACAAAATAAACTGGAAAGTCACCACTACGGAATGCATAAAACTTGAACAAGCGATGATTTCCATGTCTTGATGGTGCTGCAAGGCCATAGCCATCCTATCTAGATGCGGAGATAACCCATGATAACAAACAGAAGGCTCAGGCATAACCTCAAAAAAATTGCATATTTTTAAACATATTAATCAATAGGCTCATTCAAGCCACAAAAAAGTGATTTTCACAGGTATATTAAATCAGCAAACTGACGGCTCACTCACAACACCGCCTAAATTAACCATAGTAAATTCCACATATTCACATCTTTACTTGCAAGAATAGAAAAATCTCCAAATTACGAATGCATTGAACTCAAATGAAACAAAACTAACTACAGCTTATCAGCACTCAATTAAACTTACAAAACTTATACGTTTCTCTGCCAGTTGAGATATAAGACTCGCCAGTTGGATATAAGGTATTCCAGTTACTTAAAACCATCAAACAAACATCTTACTCACTCGTTACCAAAATTATAATGAAAACATTAATGATTTATTATTTAAGTTGACATCTTCAATTGCAATAAGAAAGTCTTTTAAATGTTCATTTCTAAACTTGGTTTCAAGCCAAGCATCATAACTGTGCAACCGAGAGTTAACTTGTAAAATGAAGGAAAGTAGTTCATGATTTAGCATGAGTCCCCCCAGTATATCAGAAAGAAGAATGCATGTGGAAAAAGCAAGAAAACTAATCAACTAAATGATTTTGGACCTGAATTCCTTCTGATAATACTTGTTCTTCAGAAGCAGTAAGCAACCTTGAAGCAGTTGTCGTTCCTCTCAAGTAGCGCAATGGATCAGAGTAATCAACATCCTGTAAAGCCGGACGCTTCTTCTTGCCTGTAGGACCAGATTTCAAGGATACTACATTGGCTGAAGCTCTTTCTGCTGCTCTATCTCTTTTGGCTTTTCTTTCTTTTTGACGCTTTGATCTTACAGCCACATCATTCAACAGTTGTTTATCTAGAACTTCCAGTTCTTCATGGGAGGGCTCCACATCGCCAGTTTCTGTGAAGGGAAACCAGAATGATTGCTTGTCCATCCCGGTTTCAGCATCAACAGTTTCATTTTCGACTATCACACTTTTATCAAGTCGATCAAGCTGAGCACTTGAGGACAGGAGAGAGTTAGCTTCCAACAGGGTATTCACTGCTCGATTATCTAATTCTGTGAAGTCGCCACCACTGATCATCGTGGCTGCATCCTTAGCAACTTTAAGGGCTGCTTTAGCTAATGCAACTGCCTCTGCTGCTGCTGCTGCAATAACAGCCTCTTCATTTGCAATAAGGGATTCAGTAACCAAGGCTGCTCCGAGATTTGCCTGCGAATGACATCACAAGAAGTAAACAGTAATCAAATTTCACATATTCTCACCCTGAATATGCACTCTATCTAACCCTAAACTAACAGTTTTCAAAGGTCTCATATCAGCTCTGCCTTGTCCAAATATGAATATAACCGCAACAGCAACAACTAAGCTTTAAGCCCGGTGTATGGTAAACTACATAGATCATAGAGACAACAGCCTAAAACTACCTTTATGAGTCCTTCACCAGTCTACTTACTCATTTCATCCTTCTAATGATTTTCTTCACCAAAATCATCTATTTGCACAGTTGAATTGATCCCAAACTACTTCTACAGAAAAATAAAAATATTAAAAAGCATTCTCAATTCTACGTGAACTGACCTTAATAGTTGAATCAACTGGGCCAGCATGTGTCCACGATCGATTTGCTGTACTTGAATTTGAATGAGGTTCCAGAGAAAGTAATTCCAACTTCTCCATATCAAGAACTGGTGCCATGGTTGGACATTGTGAAGGTTTCCAAGCAACATCAGAAACAGAACTTGAATTTGCTTCTAAAGAAGATAATTGTAGCTTCTCAACTTCAAGGACTGTACTTCTTCCTACTGTTGATGTGGTTGATAAGACGCATTGTGGTCTGACACATATATGGGCTTTACTCTTTGCTGCATTTTCAAAAATTAAAAAAAAAATTATCTAACATAAACTGTATATCTAGATACACAGGAACTCAAGAGAAAAAAAAGGGAACCCATCACTGAAAGAAGACCCTCAATATATGTTCATTTAGGGGAAACTGAAGCCTATTTTTTCTGACACGGTTGCGAACGGACCATTCTGTCCATAGAGATCAACTTTGAACGAAATAGATATTTCCTTCAGCTCAGGACATACTCATATAGCTAACATGAAGAGAAACTAAAACCTAGTCTTAATATCTCCAGAGCAAGATATCCCTTCTTGTACATACAAACGAACCGCTTCCCAGAAGAACAACTGAAAAGTTGATCCAAATGGCCAATCTAGAGTAAAATGGCAACAATTCAGCCTTTCTTTAGACTTACTTTCTTTTGCTAAAATTAGGATTATCGATTCTCAAGAGAAAAAAATAGTCCGGTTGACCTGCTAAAATCTAAAGTCGTTGACTAGGGGGACCCCGACTCCAATTATTGATCCAATATTACTGAGTTTGATTTTTCATTATCATTTTGCAAATAAAATCCACAATTTTCAGATTTGGAACTGGCAAGCTACAAATCACACTGGGCCAAAGTCAAATAGATCTCATTAGTGCTCAATCAAGCACTGGAAATGCCTAAGATCATACAGCACAACTAGACTTGACCACATTCCGGCTACATTAAAACTAAGTGGTAAATTCTGGCAATTGATTAAAGATTCCATAAATGTAGGAAACAAATTGATTTAAGTCCCGTTTCTAGTATCTTAGATCTTCTGATTACAAAAACCAACAGAAACTTACCTACCTCTAGCTTCCAATAGAAAGCAGAAGCTTTCATAAGCTTAATCATTACAATGTCCAACGTCCACCTTTTTCTTAACTGGTACTCATTTCAAAGACGAGGGAGAAAAAATCATAAGTTCACTTTATTTACATGAGAGTACCCCAAACACCCCAGATAATTAGATAATTCACCAGCTAACTGATTACATATTAGACCAAATAATCAAGACATGATCAAGATATTTCACCATTTTCCCAAAAATCATACTTCCATGAAGATAGGAATTGCAGAACCCCAAAAAAGACTTTAGCCTCCAAATTTTAAAACCCAACTAAAAAAAACTTCAATTCAATCAAAAGTTACTGTTATATCCCATAAGCCCAATAATTTTAAGAACTGGAATAAAAAAGGAACACTCACAGATATGGCCGGCAGATTGTTGGTGGGATTTAAGGTTAGCAACAAAAGCATCAGGGGAGCACCTGAATTGGGGCAGCAAGCACGACATATCTCTCCACTTCTACAAACATAAGTTTATTCCTACTTCACTATCAATTTTCTTTTCTACATATGATTCAAGCATGATAGTAGTTCTTGGGAACAAATACTGTCAAACCCACATCAAAAAATGGCTTCTTTCCCTTTAAAAATCAATCAAATGAATGTGAATTTCTACACAGTTGCAGGCTTGAAGCAGCATTCAAGATTGTGAGTGTGAAGAGGACTTAAAGTGAGAAAGCAAAATAAGTTATATGATAAAACAACTGGATAAGAAGAGACTGCCAAAAATGATCCCACAGGCTTACAGCAATGCTTTCAAAAGAAATTGAGGATGAGAGGAGAGGACGAGGAATTTTTCTGATATTATTTTTTAAGTCAGTTTTCTAACTGGGTTGCATTTTGGGTCATTACATAACATTTTTTTGGTCTTTATAGCTTTCTGGATAAGCAACTCTTGAGGCCCATTTGAAACATTTTTTTTTTTTTCCCAACTCAATAAACTTTAGCCAGCCCCGAACGCAATAGTAAACCAAGCGTTAAGCTTCCCTAGTATATGAAATTAAAAAAAAAAAAAAAAAACTTTAGCTAAAACCATGAAAATTAATTTTGCCGACTCATTCTATCTAAAAAAAATTATGTTTATTGTATCTTTTTAAGTCATTAAATATAAAAATATAATTTTTCAATGTCAGCAGTAAGTTGTTACTTCACTGAACTAATAAGAAAATAATCTATATCTATATATACTAGTGATGTCTGGTCGCGCAATTTATCTGTAAATCTTAGAAATGTTTATATTTGAAAAAAATAAAATTTTGTATTTGGAGCGATATATTTTAGAAATGTTTGAAGGATTTTAAAAATGTTTTATAAGTGTGATCATAGAAATATTTGTATTTCACAAAAAAAGAAATTGTATTTCGCCATGTATGTTTTAGAAATGTTTTATAACTGTTACTTATTAAATCTAAATAGACTTAATCGAATATATGTGTTGAAATAAATGTTAGACAAAATATAAAAGTATCCTAATAAGTTTAAATATTAGTAAGATGATTTATTGATGTTCTCCATTGGTCGTGCCAAATCAATACTTAGTTTTGGAGAACTTTAATAGCTTTGTAATAAGCTTCATCCGAAGGGTATACGCTTAAAACAAAATTGACACTTTGTAACAAAAACTTAATTGATCAATTCAATTTAGACTCCACAATTAAGAAAAGAAAACCACTCTAATTGAATGAAACATAAAGAAAAAATTTAAAAAAAAACGTGTCACGTAAAGTGCAAAGGAGGATTTAGTAATTTAGTTATGATTAGACAAAAGGGCAATTTAATACTTTCCTCATGTCATGTGACAATCATAAGAGGTGTTTGAAAGGGGGATTTTTATAGTAATTTAATTATAGTTAGACAAAAAAGGCAATTTAGTACTTTTCTCATGTCACGCGACAATCATAGGGGTGTTTGAAAGGAACATCATTCCTTCCCACCCAATACAAAATCATATAAAAATCATACAAAATACTATACAAAAGTGGGAAAAAAATAAAAGAACTCACCACCATATAAATTAGTGCGATCATGGTGCGTAGCCCTATTGTAAAAAGTGGGATAAATTAGTAGGACTGTATTGCCGGAAGAGTTTGACCTCAGTACAAAATACTATTACTTCTACTCTAAAAAAAAGGGTGGCTTCTATACAAAATACTATTGTTTTCCTTTCGGTCAAACATCAGCCGATGAAAACATTTCTATTTGGACTGTATTCACTTACTGGACCCTAAGCCCAAAATATTACCCAAAATATTCCGGTATTGGAAGAGTTTTTTATTTTTTATTTTTTGCCTAACATTGCTGTGTGGCGGACCCCACATCACCATTACCGTAATTTTTCCTAACATTGCTGTACTGTAAAGCGGCGGCAAAGGGCGGAGCTCCGGCGAGTCAAATTTTTCTCGAATTCGCAGTACTGCTTTCGTCGCCGGTGCTACTGCCACGTGGGTGTTGTTGCTGCATAACACTATTGTCAATGACTCCGTGAGTATTCACTAAAGTGCCCAAGTACAGAAACTCCGAGCTCGTTTGCGACGACCTCTGAAGCTTCGGAACTAAGTAATCCATTCCCATACTTGGAAAAGTAACCAAACCGAAAGAAATGAATTGAAAATGGGATTCAGTTGAAGAAATCAATGAAAGCTTATGGATTAAGGTAGGATTCAATTGAATTCTGTTACAATAGATGGCTATAGAAGGTTTGTTTCCCATTCTATGTTAGAATAGATGGAAAGTGACGATCTGGGCTCTGGTATGGGAGAAAATGGTTTGCGACGGAGGTGCCCGAGCAAGGCGACGTGGTAATGGAAGGGCGGTTTATCGGCGGTGGACGGCGGCATTTTGATTATGAGAACGTGCAAGATTTTGGAAGAAGAATCGAAAATGAAAGGGGCTGAAAAGCAATCTCATCAGTTGTGGAATAAGAAGTAATATAATTTACTCTTTTGTACTGTAATGGAGGAGTGAGAATTTGAAAAAGGGAAGAAAACAGAAGAACACGTGGTGTGCATTCTGGAGGGCATTATGAAAATCTGTTAATTTATTAATACCAATTAATGAGGTGGAAATGCCACGTGGCAATTGAAGGGGAGCTCTTTGAAGTGTGGTTTTTATTTCTTATATAGTAAGATATCCCTTTTACCCTATTAAAGCAGAATACAAGATATTGATGTGGCAACTTCTTATTAAAAAATTTTGGCTCCAAATGCACCATATTGCATTAACCATTCTGCCACGTGTCATCCCTTTTTAAAAGGAAAAAAAAACTTCTTATCCGGAAAAACAAAAGCCACTTTACAAAAATAGCTACACAATTTTAACTCTTAATACTTATCATTTATCAATCAAATTAAGATACATTTAAATTTACCCATAAATTTATCCCCTTTATTACTCCACATTCTTTTCATCTTTTGTATGATTTCTGAATCATTGTACTTTTTAATATTTTTTCTCCTTTTGTAGATGATTTTTTTATTTTTATTTTTATTTTTGGCTAAAAAAGCAAAAAAAAAAAATGTGTAGCTATTTTATTTTTTCTAAATAAAGAATTTATTTATCTATTAACACAAAATTAAAGTAGATGGGGTGCCCGGACATCTGACCGGGCCAAGCATCTAGTACCCCATTATAACAAAAACCAATTTTCACTAAAATTCCAAGTGTCATGTTTTCCTAAAAATTTTCCTCAAGTTCATACGTGTAATTATTTTCCAATCCTGCTATTATCTTTTTTATGAACACATTTCAAAAAAAAAGAAAAAAACCTCCCCACTATCTTCATAAAACGGTTTCCAATCCCATTCCTAAAAGTAAACTCCAAATCCTGTCATTAATAGCTTCCTCACTAAATTAAAACTGTACAGTAGAATCCCGCGTTTACCATCAAATTTTCAAGAAAATTCAATCAGTTTTTCTTTTTCTTTTTTTTTTTATTTGGTTTACATTACAAACAAATAATTCAGATACGATAGAGTAAGCAAACATAGTCCGGCAAAACAAAGACAAATGGTACGGCTGACAAAACAAAGATGTCGGTTACACTATCAAGATCGGCGGTTAACGCGGAGATTGACATTTTAATAAGTTCATCGTATTCTCTTGGTTCAATACTGGCCAAAAAGGTAATATTCTATGTTATATAGGATTTTCTATCAGTTGATTAAATTCATCATATCGAGAATATATTCATCGAGTATTTTTTTCTTTTCCCTTCGATACTTGAAAAACATCGAATCTCATAGACAAAACATCCGGCAAATTCAAGGGAGTGGCACACCACAAGTGAAGTAACTCCTTCAATTAACACTACTAGACGTGCCCATTATCTGAATCCAACCATAAAAAAGGTTAGGCATGTGATCTTGCTCTCTGCCTAATGAGGGTGACTTATGCCAAGCTAGAATTACTATATTGTACTAGAGTTTAATTCTGATTAAATGGTTTTTTCAGCAGCGGACTAAATGGTAACTTTGATGCAACTTAAAAGAATGTGTTTCTTTTCTCCCCATCCAATTGATGATGATGTTAACTTGAGTGGTGCTATGATCATTCTATCAATAATCAGAACAAAGTGTAAGGCCTAAATCTGATCCCTAATGCGAAAACCTTATTTCAAATAGTTGTTCGGTTTTGTCATGAAACTAATAGCATCCAGCATTACTAATTTGCTTGCTTAGATGAATCCTTTGCATTTGATGCATTATCCATAAAATTGTGAAATTCTCATATAATGGGATTGAGAGACACCTAATTGATCCCAATCAAAACCACTTATGGTCAAGCTGAATTCAATTGATTCTAACATAAAGTGTCTACTCTGGTGCAGTACAAGTACTATAATTATTTTTCAACAGAACATTATAATGATTCTTGATGACGATGAATGAAGGAAAGGACAAGTTTAACACAGTCCATCTTTAGTGTAGAAACTTTGGTTCCGGTTTTATTTTAAATTTTTTTTGTCAATGATGAATGTATTATTGAGTTTAGTTGTACAACAGGTTTATGCAAAAAATACTTCTACTTTTTCAAAGCCTTATCATATTTTTCCTTTTCTCTTTTTTTTTTTTTAAATGTTAATTGCTTTATAATAATTTCACGTAGTACATATTAAGATTATATGATGTAGTTTGTATACGTTACATTGACACTACAAATAACATAACATAGAGTTATGTTCCTCCTGTTCTAAATGATTGTCCTTTGAAAATCCAATTTGAACAATCATTTGGGAAGGAACAAGTACATATTTATATGACATTTTTTGTTTATTCACTTTAAAATAATTTATATTAAATTTAAAATAAAATATGTTAGTCAATTATAAACCCGTGCGAAAGCACGGGTCCAGAACCTAGTATTCATTACACTAAATTCATCTAACCAAACATAGTAGACTTCATTGATGGAGTCCTAAAATTCTTAAGAGAGGTAAATTTTTCCTGCTACGGTCAATAAAGTCATGAAATGTTTTAATTTATATATATTTTTTTAAACGAATTTATCTGGACCAATACATGATTTTCTTTTAGTCTTTCTAGGATCGGGTTTAATTTTAGGGGGTCAGGGGGTAGTATTATTTTCTAATCCAATTTATTATGCCTTTTCTATGGGACTAGTTCTTGTTTGTATATCCTTATTCTATCTTCTCTTGAATTCCTACTTTATAGCTGCTGTGCAGTTACTTATTTATGTAGGAGCTATAAATATTTTAATCATTTTTGCTGTGATGTTTATGAACGGTTTAGACTATTCCACGAGCTGGAACAACCTGCTCTTCCTGAAGATCCCCATTCAACGCCAACGAATTTGTCAACCTTTATTCGACTTCCAGCTACAAGTATTGAAGGACGAGGGCAATCAATAAAGTCAAACTCGAGTCTAAAATCATAATCAAAAGAAGACTCGACCCTGGCTTGTGTAGCCTATGCGAAGCAAGTCCACACTGGCTTAGAAACGGAACGAAGAAGAAGTTTAACCATTTTCGTAATTCCTATTATTTCCATAGATAATTAGACCGGTGGTAGGGCGAAAGAAAGAAATAAGGCCCATAGAAAAGAAAAGGAATTTCCTCTTGCCGCAAGGTTTTCTTAGGTCTGGACAAAGCTAGAGGCGGCACCTTTAAGGTGGCTCAATAAGGAATCTAAACTGAATTGAGTTCTCGACCGGTCAAGAGAGGCGAATGAAAGCAAATGCCAGCTGTATTGCCAACAACGATAGCAGCCCACGCCTGTGATAGAGCACACCATGTCGGTGGGAGATCCGACAGTGACTTTATCCTTCGTCCGGAGGTACCAAAGATTCGATGCTGTCACCCTCAGAGCCCGTAGATGTCAAGGAAGAGCTTCCACTTTGGGTAGGTTAACTATGCACGCTTCGCCACACCTTCGACAGACTTTTTATGACTTTAACTGATTTTAGGTATTCTGGAAAGGGTCTAAATGTAATTGTTGACTTAATGATCCGCACCATGTGGTGCCAAATTTCTACCTTTTGTGTACTAATTGCTCCCATTTTCATCGGGTTTCTAAAGTTAATCCAGCCTGACATCGTGAATTCACATAGAGTAACCTACTTCACTTCCATAGAAGACACCCTTCTTTCTCCTTGAGTAGATTCCGCGTTGGATGAATTCTATTTATAAAATATGATAGGCTTTTTGTTTAAGCCAAACACGAAAATGAACGTCCCTACGGTTGCATAGGTTTTTTCTCTTCTATCTACCATCTATCTAGTTTTTACATTTCACCATATTTTAGAAAAATACTCTCAATGTACTCTCCGATCCTTAATATAAGATAATTTGATTTGTCTTAAGTTTCACATAATACGTATTTTAATCGAAAAAAATTTTAAACATATATTTTTACATTCATCATATTCTCTTGATTGTTCTTGAATATTTTTAAGGTTTTTTTTGTCAATTAAAAATGTGTACTAGGTGGAATCTATGACAAATTAAAATGTCTTATATTAAGGACACGAGAGAGTACCATCTTATTAGTTCCCTGTCAAAGAAGAAGGAATAACTCAAGTATCATTTTCTAGAAATTTGTAGATAGATTGAAAAAGAATTATATGATAAATTTCAAATTTTTCTAGAACCTTTTGAAGATTCAAATTTTATGATAAATTATTTTGGGTTAGTCACACGTTAAAATCATTATTATCATATATAAAAATTTTAATTTTCTTTCATAAAGTTGAAAAATCAGCTCTTTGCCCAAAAATTTGAGGGAGCACTTTGCTCTTTGGTTAAAAATTGAGGGAAAAATAAAATTTTTTGGGGTGAGCTGTTTTTTAACTATCTAATTTTTGTTAAACAAAATACTTGAAATGACTTGATTTGAGAATCTCGGTTCTTCTAAATGCAGCGGAAAGACCCCTAATTCTCTAGATACTAGAAGATTTGGCCAATAAGTTGTAAACATAAAGGAAAGAGGTAAAACTAGGATCAAGTGAGGATGAAGATGAATGTGATTTTTCTTTTTGTTGAAAAATCAAATTCTTTTGGTATGTTGAAAAATCAAATTAGTGTTGGTTATACCAAACAAAAGGGGACATCCGTTATAACACTAAACCTTGGGGAGTAACATGTAAAAAAAAAAGCTTGATTAATTGCTTCGTTCTGAAATAGCCTGCCTTCTTCTTCTTCCCTCTTGGTCTCCGCTCGATCAACGGGAAACGGCTGAGAAACCAGTTGATTCTGCGCTAAGACTTGGCTTCATCGATGGCACCGGCGGTGCTCTTCCCTCTTCCTCCGTGTTCTTTTGGTAAGCTTCCGTCATCTTTCCGAGATCTGTGCAAAACACTGCGCGAAAGACTTTTTTTTTTTTCTTGATTCGAGTTTACGGCTTTTTCTGTGTCTATTCGACTGAATGAAGATGTTTTATTGCCTGAATGAGTTTTTTTATGGTTTGGATTTTGCGTTCTGTCTGGCTGATTGGTACACAAAAGTTTTTCATATCATTTAATTTGTCGTTTGGATTTTGATTTGAATCTGGTTGATTTTGTATGCCGGTACAGTATTTGTTCGTGCAAAGACTAATTTTATGTTTTGACGAGAACGTCTAATTTATTAAACTTGGGAATATTGGATGACATATGAGACAAGCGTATAAATTTAATCTAAAGGAATGAGTTTACACTTTACTGTATAAGATCGTCTGCTTGATCTGTAATGCTTCTGGATCCATAAATACGATTATTTATGTGATCTGTAATGCTCCGTGATAGTCGTCTATGTTCATTACTGTTCTTGAGCTTATGATTAAAGTCGTCTATGTTCTTTACTGTTCTTGAGCTTATGATTTTTGCATCTGCTGTGAGAGATTATGAATTTGTGATTCCAGTTTTCGCTTATAGTTTGTTGTTGAATAATAATGTTTACTCTATTTCTTCTTATTTCATTGTGTATCGCAGTTTCTGTTTGGTGAGTATATCATGTAATTGGTTGTGAAAAGTGCTACTCATTTTATAACTGCATTCAACCGCTACCGATAATTTCTTCAGACATCACATCAGAAAACAGAGATTCTAGGATAGTACTTGGTAACAATCTCGGGCATGTTGGCTTTTGGAATGTTGATGCAGATGGTGAGAAGAACAAAGGAATATATTTGAGTTGTTTTAGTTTTGTTTTGTTTCTTTTGGTCTTGAAGGAATATAGATTTGGAAAGATGAGTGTTGCAAAGTCTCAGGTTTGGCAGCCTTGCAAGAAGAAAAGGATTTAGGATTTATTTTTTTTTCAAAAGCAGACAGTTTTTGGAATCATCAGATAAGTTGATACTTGCAGATAGTCACTGCTAGGAGTACAAAAAGGGAAAAAAATGGATGGTATTTGTACTAGAAAGAGACTTTGATTTCTGGTTTGGCAGAGGCTAGGTACAAATCTAGAGAGAACGAGAAGAGAAAAAAGGAGAAGAAAAAGGGTGTGATTTTAAAGTTTGAGGATGACATCTAGATCAGCCTCCAGCACGCCAAGGACAAGCACTCCAAGGACAAGCACACCAAGGACACGGGTGGGGAGATACGAGTTAGGGAGAACTTTAGGGGAAGGTACTTTTGCTAAGGTGAAATTTGCCAGGAATATTGAGACTGGTGAGCATGTGGCCATTAAGATCCTTGATAAAGAGAAGATTCTTAAGCATAAAATGATCTCTCAGATCAAACGGGAAATTTCGACCATGAAGCTAATCCGGCACCCAAATGTGATTCGCATGCATGAGGTTATGGCCAGCAAGACAAAAATATATATAGTGCTCGAATTTGTTACGGGCGGTGAACTTTTTGACAAGATTGCCAGTAAAGGCAGGCTTAAAGAAGATGAAGCAAGAAAATATTTTCAGCAGCTTATTAATGCAGTGGATTACTGTCACAGCAGAGGTGTATGTCACAGGGACCTAAAGCCAGAAAATTTGCTGCTGGATGCAAATGGAATCTTGAAAGTTTCTGATTTCGGATTGAGTGCACTACCGCAGCAAGTTCGAGAAGATGGTTTATTGCACACGACATGTGGAACACCAAATTATGTTGCTCCGGAGGTGATCAACAATAAAGGTTACGATGGAGCTAAGGCTGATTTATGGTCATGTGGTGTAATCCTTTTTGTTCTAATGGCTGGTTATTTGCCATTCGAAGAATCAAATCTCATGTCATTGTATAAAAAGATCTTTAAGGCTGAATTCACTTGCCCTCCGTGGTTTTCTTCGAGTGCGAAGAAGTTGATCATGAGGATATTGGATCCTAATCCTCTAACACGTATTACAATTGCTGAGCTGATTGAGAATGAGTGGTTCAAAAAAGGTTATCAGCCACCTGTATTTGAGCAAGAAGAAGTTAGCCTTGATGATGTGAATGCTATTTTCAATGAATCTGCAGAATCTCCTAACCTTGTTGTGGAGCAGCGGGAGTTACAGCCTGCCGCGCCAATGACAATGAATGCATTTGAGCTTATTTCTACATCTCAGGGTCTCAATCTGAGTTCCTTATTTGAAAAGCATATGGGGCTTGTAAAACGTGAAACGAGATTTACTTCCAAGATGCCAGCCAATGAGATAATATCAAAAATTGAGGAAGCTGCTATGCCTTTGGGGTTTGATGTCAAGAAAAATAACTACAAGATGAAGCTCCATGCGGAGAAGACTGGACGCAAGGGCCATTTATCAGTTGCTACAGAGATCTATGAGGTTGCTCCATCACTACATATGGTTGAGCTTCGGAAGGCTGGGGGAGATACTTTGGAATTCCACCAGTTCTACAAGAACATCTCAACTGGGTTGAAGGACATTGTTTGGAAATCAGGAGATGAAGCACAAGAGCCAGGGAAAGATGGTGCCAGCTCATCATCATCTTGAGTTGTGGATTTCCAATCAAAGTCCATGCCCTCTGTTAGTAAAGTTTGGATGTACCTTGTGATATAGACTATTTTGTATGGTCTGCTTTTGATTGTTGGGTTGAGCATTTATGTGGATTCGTATATGGATCACTAAGTTTGAGTTTGGACTTTCTAGTTTCCACATGTATCAAGAATTTTTATGAAATAAGGAATAAAATTTGTATTCATGCACCTCCTTCAGGGATAGAGGTCAATGCCTTCTCTTTAACAAAGGAGCTGATTTGGTTTGAACTTGACCGGCATGGAATCTAGATTCCAAAAGAAAAGAAAACCTATAGGCACATTTCAACTTTCTGATTTGGATGCGAATCATGGGTTTTCAAGTGATTTACCACTCTAGTTTGTCAACCCATTGCAGTTGAAAGCATCAAATTGTTATGATATTTATCACTGACAGTAGTTTGCATCTCTGTTATTCGCTTATGATGTTTCTTGCTGGGATTAATGTACAGCTTGATTTTCATTCTTTTAATATTTTTTTTGTTTTCTTGAGAAAAAGAAAAATATAAACAAAAGGTTTCATGCTTTTAATCAAGAAACTGCAGGTCTGTCAAATGTTTCCTATCATATTGCTTGATTCAGTGTACATTTTCTTGCCTCACGGTTGTGATTTGAATTTGAACGCAGATGTTCACTTCTTGCTGTAATGGGTTTATAAGAATGGTTGATTTTCGAGAAAGAGCTTTTTGAGTTGGTTTAGGCTGGTGAGGGAAAAACTAAAGGAACTTTTTTGCTTTGCACTTGTCTGATGGTTTCACTGGGTTGATATTTGTGAACAGTAGAATTGTATTTCAGAATTTTTGTGAAAGATGGCTTAGGTTTTCTTTCGTCAGTGTAGTTTTGAGGGGGAAAACTATAATTGTTGACACTGGAGTTGAACAACTGATGGACACGGATACAATACCTGAGGATGACACAGTTGTTCGACGAGTACAAGGATGGCTGCATCACACCATAGATGAACTGGCAACGGCGATGGAAATCATGGAGTAAAGACTCCCACTGAAATCTGAACTCATTGATAAAAGGGCTATTGATTGCAGAGAGTTTTTCTGAGCAGCAATGGGGCATTATTCATAGAAGTTTCTATAAAAAGATCATTGTGGAAAAAATTAATTGAATGGAGTGACATTGTACTTTTGTAGCTAAAAAGTTAGATTTGAGATGGATGAATAAAGTGTAATCACTTCATTAAAATCATATTCTAGAAAGTTGTTTGTAGATTCGGCACACTTTTTTTTTTTTTAATAAAAAAATCATATTACTTCTTCGTTCTATTAAATCCTAACATTGGTCAATGAAAATGACGAGTCCAAATTAGTACGGCCCACGACTAGGCCGTCCCAAGTTCGGTGAGCGATCCATCCAGCCCGCTAGAAGTTTCTAGATCGGTTTCTAATTACTTTCCTACCAAAAAAGGGTTTCATAACTTAGCACTATAAATATGGATTAACCCCTTACATCAAAGGTACGCTCTACGCACTACAACTCATACACATGTTTCAATTACTCTTACTGGCTTAAACATCGGAGTGTCTACCCTCGGGAGACCCCGAGACCCTCTTTTGCAGGTTTTAGGGTTTTGATACAGCCATGGTCACCGGTTCAATCAACTGGAAACGTCGATGCAGATCCATGCTTCGTCAAGTGGCACGCCCAGTGGGACCCGATTAGGGTTCTTTGTCCTTCAATAAATTTTCTTGCAACGAAGGTGGAAGATGGATCGAACGTCTGCTTTTATCATATATATGGCCAAAGTATCTTGTTTTCCACAACGAGATTCAAGGTTCTCTTCCAAAAAAGTTTCTTGCGAGGACACAAAGGTTGGTTGAGTTTTGGTTTCTTTTTAGAGCATCCAGGTTCTGTTTTTTATTATTTTTAGTTTTTAAAGAACCTTTAGCCGCATATTAAGATTATGATTTATCAAAAGGACCTCTCACGCTTCACACACGCACATGCACGCCTTTGGCTTCATGGCGGAATTTTGCTCTTCTTAATATTTGGGGAATGCATGAGATCAAAACCAAAATATTTCAGCCACCTCCATCCTTCTTGAGCAACGAAGATTCTCAATAATTGTTTATTAGACAAGATTTGAAAGTCACATGTTAAACCTACTAGACCGAATTTTTGATGACGATGTCATTAGGGTTCACCCAATAACTCCACGATTTGGGGAAATTAGTGTTGCATTTGCAATTTGCATGCATATTAATAGTTTTAATAACACACTGCTCATTAGCCTTTGTTTACGTGCATGCTTAATACTGATGCCACCATGCTTGGTACATTTGAGCACCATGGAAAAGTTATCATGATGAGTTAGAACACCCGATTATATACGAGCAAATAAACCTTGTAATTAAGTTTCATGATATTTTCTTTGTTACATTTGGGGATGTATGAGGCATGGAACAAACTATCTTGTTAGCCAAAATTCAATTCGTAGTACTCTAAAAACTATACAGGACACACGAGTTTGGTGCACTCATAATACCAAGGTTTTCGAGTATAAAATTTTGCATCATGTTGAAAACCTTGTGCTTTTGGTTATAAGCAGCGTTGCTTGTTGACTATGATTTTGCATACATGCTTGAAATATATTACTTTGGGTTCTTTTTGCAAAACTAATTCCCAGGATAAAACTTTAGTGATGAATCAAAAGCATCCACATTATTATAGGGCGATCACATACATGCATCGTGTTTTATTGAGGGAATTGTCAAATTTTTAACATTTGGGGTGTGTTGTCTAGCATTCGTCTTCCTAGTTTAATGAGATGGGTTGGCTATCATATATATTTGCATAAAACACTACAAAAAATGCCGGTCTTTATTTGTGTAGCTATAACATCAAATACGATGTTGACTATGGAGTATTCAAAATTGATCTGTTATGCATGATCCAAAATGGTTGATTGGTGTATTATATTTGCCTTACACCTCGAGGTTAATATTCACTCCCTTTTCTTGGTTAGCCAACACCTCAATTCCCTTGACTTTCATCATATCAATTTCCAGGTTCGTTATCTAATTGATTTGACGATCAATTTGTTACATAATGAGTTTCGCATGACCTAGATACCATGACAAGATTAATGCATTCGCTACTCCTTGATTTCCTCGGGACAATGGGGGAGATAATTTAATTAATCATGTGCTTCTTATATATAGTCACGAGGTATTGCATGCACTTCACTCGGTGAAAAAGAGAGATCAATGTTTAGTTACGAATCAACATCATGATTAATTACTTCCATGCATATATAAAATGAATTTACTAGATCATCCTTCCCTATGATCAAGTTTGGCATATGTCAACATCCTAGTGGAACTCATGAAAATTTGAGAATCAGTTTGACTTATGCTTTGGGAAAACAGAAGCTTTGTTCTTGGATTGCTATTTATTTTGCAGTTTTGTTGAGCTAAATTACAACAAAGGACCAAGTCCGCCATCATGCAATAGGCTTTAGACCTACTTGGGGAGCCGAGGTCTATTCCTGCTCCTTTTGTTGCTCGAGGAGGCTGAAGAGTCTATCAGGATATCAATATGGATCATCGGTGGAGGACATACATCCTTGACCTCATATTTAGGGCGTCAAGGAGCACCGCACATAATCAATAAATCGGTCTACTGTCTTGATACTAGATAAGTGGTCTCAACCTTTTATTATAAATAGATACTTTATACATATCCTTAAGTTAGATTAAAGGGGAACCTTTTAATCATTTGTTTTCGGGGAAGGGGAAGAGCATATTCCCTTTGGAATTGTCGAAATGCATGCGAAAAAATTCCATGAGATGAGTTCTGCCATAAAATGCTCCAGTATCATTGTTTTACATTCGTGACATTTATACTTTCTTGAGTAGAGCATTATTACTATATCTCTCCAAAACTTTTAATACATGATCTAAAGGATAATAATGTAGAACCTACAGTTACAAAGGCCTACTCAATTTTCGAAGTATTGTTACTCGGTTTTGCAGGACTTACAAGCACACGAGTCCAAAATTCCCTTCTCCACAATATAAGTATACTCATGTGGTAGCAGTCTCGAACAACATGAGGCAACTCACAAGAATATGTCATGAAGTCAATGAGCAGTGCTACTCCGATTTATGGGTATCATCAAAAGAGTGGCAACAGATAAGTGATATGATCTCCTTATACTATTGTTGTCTAAATATGTGAATATCAATGTTATCCTATAAATATTACAAGTGAAAACTTCATGCATGGAAATCCCTTTTCGGATTCATGATATATTTGCCATCTATATGTATATATCCTAAGTTTAAGTAAACCATGTAGCTACCACCATACATGTAAATATTCTTGTTTACCTTTTTTGAATGAACATTTCGCCTGGTTCTAGGCTCAATAAGAACGTCATGTTTGTTTTTCTTGAAAGGTGGGCGTAGATATCCCTCTTGCTAAATCTTTCCCAGAGGGCGGAAAGAGCGATTAATTCTAGAAGCTTATTCAAGATATACTTAACAATATTAACTTTCTTTGAAGTCCATAATGCAGGATGGCTTCATCTCTCTGTAGCATGAGTATCATGATATCTTGAATTGCCAAACCTACTCTAATCGACAATCAGCTTAGAGTAGCTATCTTGAGGTTGCGATAACTTGTAAGCCCAACAATCTAGTTCTATGATAAATCATTTTGTGCAGGAATAACACTCATCCCAGGATTATATTCATCACCAACATGATCCGTCCAAAGTCTCAGAACCCGGTGTCGCAGCCAAGTCGCGAGCTTGCTGATTGGCGCATGTCTCCAAGGGCACATTATCTCGGGTTGCCCAACGCACATGAGTTTGGTGCAATCATCATCACCAGGTTTTTTAAAATCAATTTTGGCATCATCACGTTAGAACCCTGCATTTTTTATCTATTAAAAGCATGGTTGCTTGTTTGTCATGGGTTTGCATGCATAATTGCATTATTATTGATCCCACGATCACATTAACTTTAATGCACCTCATCAATTTTGGCATCTTCAGTGCTTGATGGTTTAATGCACCTCATCACCCTAATATGATCGATTAGTAGTTATCACAATGAATAAAAAGCACCTCTTTTTTATTCTACAAATACATAAATCAGGTTGATCATATTAATGATTTTTCTTTGAGGCCTCTGGGATACCAAAGCCGGAAGAAAGTTTCAACAGCTTTCACCTTTTCCTCTGAGCAAATTAAAACAATATATTATAGCCATGTAACTCCGAGACAAGTTGTTATTAGCTTATTAATTACACATACCATGCTTATGTGTATGCTATGTAGTATCTCAATATTTAGCCTACAATAAATCGACTCTTTTGTCTTTGTGGCAATCCTGGTCATCATTACGATTATTTGAACAGTTGAAATCTTGATTGAGTATATAGATCATACGAGTCACGAGACCTATGTATGTGTTGTATCTCTTACAAGCTTATTGAATCATTGATCACTAAACAATCGGTATACGAGCAGTCCGTACATGCCTTGACATGAAATTTGTCGTGTTTTACATGTGCGCAAAGTTTCCTGCTAATCTGCCACTATTTCTATTGACTCTTGTGGATTCCTTTGATTCCTTTCCATGGATCATGGTCATTCGATGATCTTATTCACATGTTACACCTATTTACATGTGTCACATTATTTTCTTAATTCCATATCTAAGCATCATCGATCTGTTCTTATCATCCATGATTTTTTACGATAAATTTTTTGAGTTTATGGTTGACTATGGAAGTTACTGCCCGTCAACATTGGTTCGAGAGACTACACAGCCTCCTCGAACCAAACAAGATTGAGATGCAAATCAGCCAGCGAGGACTACGAGGCCTTCAATTACATCAGAAATTTAAGCAGCCGCAGCCGCTCGACAAGGGTTTTAAATTTTCTGGCAATTGTAAAACGGTCCTTGGTGATTTTATTATTTATACTCTAATGTTAAATCTTCTAATTCCGCAGCATAGTCCCTCGAACGTCAAAGAACTTACTTGGTCCTAACTTTACAGCAAGGGGCGACAAGATATCTTAAAGGTCAAATCTCCTCGGAGAGGCGCACTTCCTCGAGACGTGAGCACGAGGCCACTCGTTTGCTTTCAGCAGCACAAGCTGAAACACCCATTACTACACATCTGCACGAGGCAGAGGCTTTAATAACAGATAAGTTATCGTGTCCTTCTATACATGTCATACATTATTTCCTTCCGAATTTATTCAGTTTGAGGGTGACGAACTTATGTCC